ATTGGACAGCCACATGCAGAAGAATGAAACTGGACCATTTCCTTACACCACACACAAAAATAGACTCCAAGTAGTTGAAAGACCTAAACGTGAGACAGGAGTCCATCAAAATCCTAGAGGAGAACACAGGCAGCAACCTTTTTGACCTCAGCCACAGCAACTTCTTCCTAGAAACATCACCGAAGGCAAAGGAAGCAAGGGCAAAAATGAACTATTGGGACTTTATCAAGATAAAACGCTTTTGCACAGCAAATGAAACAGTCAACAAAACCAAAAGACAACTGACAGAATGGGAGAAGATATTTGCGAATGACATATCAGATAAAGGTCTATTACCCAAAATCTATAAAGAACTTATCAAACTCAACACCCAAAGAACAAATGATCCAATCAAGAAATAGGCAGACGACATGAACAGACATTTTTTCAAAGAAGACATCCAAATGGCCAACAGACACATGAAAAAGTGCTCAACATCGCTCGGCATCAGGGAAATCCACATCAAAACCTCAATGAGATACCACCTCACACCAGTCAGAATGGCTAAAATTAACAAGTCAGGAAAGGACAGATGTTGGCGGGGATGCAGAGAAAGGGGAACCCTCCTACACTGTTGGTGGGAATGCAAGCTGGTGCAGCCACTCTGGAAAACAGTATGGAGGTTCCTCAAAAAGTTGAAAATAGAGCTACCCTATGACCCAGCAATTGCACTGCTGGGTATTTACCACAAAGATACAAATGTAGTGATCCGAAGGGGTATGTGCATCCCAAAATTTATAGCAGCAATGTCCACAATAGCCAAACTGTGGAAAGAGCCAAGATGTCCATCGACAGATGAATGGATAAAGAAGATGTGGTATATATATACAATGGAATATTATGCAGCCATCAAAAAAACCCCGAAATCTTGCCTTTTGCAATGACGTGGATGGGACTAGAGGGTATTATGCTAAGCGAAATAAGTCAATCAGAGAAAGATATGTTTCACATGATCTCACTGATATGAGGAATTCTTATTCTCAGGAAACAAACTGAGGGTTCTAGAGGGGAGGGGTGTGGGGGGATGGGTTAGCCCGGTGATGGGTATTAAGGAGGGCAAGTATTGAATGGCGCACTGGATGTTATATGCAAACAATGAATCATGGAACACTACATCAAAAACTAATGTAATGTATGGTGATTAACATAACATAATAAAATAAAATTTAAAAAAAAGTTAAAAAAATAAAGAATAAAATGGAAAAATAAATAAATAAATAAATAAAAAGGTAAAAAAAAATATTCACCAAAGAAACATGTTCCACTATGAATATGTATGTATTACATCTGTTATAAATTTCCATAGTAGAGTTGGAAATAGTGAGTTGATTTCTATCTTCTTTCCTTCCTCCCTCCCTCTTCCTCACTCTTCTTCCTTCCTCCCTTCCTTTCCTTTTTCCTTTCCATTCCCTTCCGCTTCCTCCCCTCCTTCCTTCCTCCCTTTCTTTCTTTTCTTTTCTTTCTTTCTTTTTCTCTCTCTTTCCTTCCCCCTTCCTTTCTTCCTTCCTCCCTTCTTTCTTTCCTTCCTTCCTTTCTTTCTCTCTCTTTCCTTCCTTCTTTCTCTCTCTTTCCTTTCCCTTCCTTCCTTCCCTCCTTCCTTCCTTCTTTTCTTCTTTCTTTCTTCCTCTCTCTCTCTCTCTCTCTCCTATACCTAGATGTGGGGTTTGTGTCCAGTTCCCCAACCTGGCGAAATATTATTTTGTCAAAGTAAGATACGCAGTAGAGATACTATATTATGTCCAGTCTGGAATATACATCAGGTTATATGGAGCCAAAGTTAAAAATAGTTATTTGAGACATGACACTAAAATAGCCCACCCAAAAGCAGAAATACAAAATTAGACAATGGATGAACCTGGTGGATTAAACTTCATTTTGCAGTGAGTTGCTGTGGTCTTTGAATGGGTGAGCTAGACTGAGTTAGGCCGATCGAGGGGACCTCTGGGAGTGAGGACCTCATTCAGTGCATGATCCAGATCAGGTTTGTTGTGACCCCTAATGCTAAGTCTGCTCAGTTAGTTGTTGGCAAGAATTAACTGGAAGATTGGTTTAATACACCTATTAAGTTAAAAAGTATAATTATATGCAATTTAAAACTCTCAAGGGTCTTTATGTTTATATTTTACAAATAAGGATTTTTGAAAATGTTACAGCCTTAAAATCCCTATCTGAACAAGTAGGTCATTCAGTGATTAGGCCTATTGTGTCCTTTATGTTAAGTGTTAGTGTGAAGCAGAATCTCACAGGTCACTAAAAATCCTGATTTCTTGACTGCCCCACCCCTCCATGTCCTCTATGAGATTCAGATGATCTGGTAGGGCCCAGGAATTTGCATTTTAACTGAACACAATGGTCTGTGGGCCATCTTTTGAGGAAAAAAAAAAAGCTCCAAATGGGTCTTGAAGATCAAATCCTATTAAATCTTATCACCTTCTTCTCAAAGACAAATTCTACTTTGTTCATATGGTGTTGTTGGTAGGACCACACAATAGGAATTTTGTGACCTTAAGTCCCTTCCTCTTTAGTCCTCTGCTGCCTCTTTGTAAATGGAGAGGAACATTGTCATTTGGCAACTTAACCTAAGATAACTGGCAAACCAGCTCTTACACAGAGGGATACTTTCCTTTTCCTTCATGTCCATTCACTCCCTTAAATTCTCTGCTTCTGAATCTTTTTTAAAAAATATTATTCATTTCAGGGGCGCCTGGGTGGCTCAGTTGGTTAAGTGACTGCCTTTGGCTCAGGTCATGATCCTGGAGTCCCGGGATCGAGTCCCGCGTCGGGCTCCCTGCTCAGCAGGGAGTCTGCTTCTTCCTCTGACCCTCTTCCCTCTTGTGCTCTCTATCTCTCATTCTCTCTCTCTCAAATAAATAGAATCTTTAAAAAAATATATATTATTCATTTCAGAGAGAGAGAGAGAGGGAGAGAGAATGCACAGTGGGAAGGGGCAGAGGGAAAGAGAGAGAGAGAAGCAGATTCCCTGCTGAGCAGGGAGCCCGACTCTGGACTCAATCCCAGGACCCGGAGATCGTGACCTGAGCTGAAGGCAGACGCTTAACCACCTGAGCCACCCAGGTGCCCCTCCGCTTCTGAATCTTGTAGAGATCTTTCACTTTTATCTGTTACTAATGTGTTTCTTCCATCTCTGCTTATCCACATTTACCTGTTGTAGAAAGTCCAGTGCAAAAGTTACTAAAACTCCTCATGCTCCCAAATGAAAGGATCTTTGATTGCCCTAACTCCCATGCATTCCGAAGTGTATCTCTTATTGCACTTACTGTGTGTTACTGTGTAACATACTTATACTAATGTCTACACCTCCTATCTCTTTTTTTTAGACTCCCTGATTTGTCAGTTACTTTTGTTCATTTGTTTAAGTAGTAAAGGAATGAACAGTTTGTTGGATTGTAATAATTCCAAAATCTAAATGTTAGCATTCATTCAATCAATATACACTTATTAAACATCTACTATTTATTCTGTAACCTGCTAGGTCCTGTATGTGAAGATAAAATGTCTAAATAATTGACTCTGTCTTTGGCTTTTATTTGGTTGGGTGGATATATTTTTGGCATGTTTAGTTAAATTGCTTGTTAAATGTTTGCCCTAGAAATAAATGATCCCAAACATACTTTTAAAACCATGTAGACCTATTTCATCAGGGAGTATACATTTGAAGTCTATGTACTATAGAGAGATATTAAATTATTTTTCTTTTTAACACCTTGAATTATTCTTTCTTTTTAAATAAATGTGTATACATACACAACTAACCCTGCATAGGCATTTGGGCAAAGTTTTTAAAATTAAAAGATAAAACTATACAAAGTTGAAATGATTTGCTTCTCTTCTGTCTGTTCCTCCCATTTCAGATGATGGAAAATTGTCCTTTGAAGAATTCAAAGCATATTTTGCAGATGGTGTTCTGAGTGGAGAAGAATTACATGAGCTCTTCCATACCATTGATACACATAATACCAAGTAAGAAACTTTTTTTACTATTGGATTCTGTAAATGATACAGAGAAGGTCAACACATAATACCAAGTAAGAAACTTTTTTTACTATTGGATTCTGTAAATGATATAGAGAAGGTGTGACCAAGTACATACTGATGAAGGAGAGAATGAGGAAATATGCAAAGGGCACATTTTGTAATGTTTAATTCTGTATGGTTAATTTTGAGATACCCCCTCTTTAGTAATTGAAATACTCTGAAAAACTGAGTATTGACTTGCAAAACAGTGATCTTCTCTGAGGGAGCCCTCTTAAGGTAGCTTTAGAGTGTGCAGAATGTAAAACAAAAGCAAAAATTATAAATAATTCTAATTCTATCATTAGTAAGAAAATAGAATTTTACCTTGTTTCTTAGGTTTCATCTCTGTTTGCTTCATCTAGAAATTGTCCTTAAGCCATTTTTATATTAGTGCAGTGCAATGCGGAGCTGCAGTGATTATCTGGAAAATTCAGATGTGCTTAACTCCAAATCACTGTTACGTGAGACATGCAAGTAATTCAGGACACAGAATTTTTTTCTGAGTAATCAATGAGTACAGTGATCTATTTTATGTATTTTACATATATAGGTCTTTGCATTAGCATAGCATTAATAAAGTCTCTGTTTATATTCTTACTATACTTAAAAATATAAAATGATGAGCAATTTACTTATAGAACAAAAGAAATGTGCTGTTTGATTTGGGTAATTGAACCAAATCACATTATTTGTGACAGTCGTGATTACAGAATTCTACTGTGGAAAATGCATCCTTTCAGTCATGCCAGGAGACCCATCAGCATGTCTGCTACTTGAACAATCACTGTCTTGCTTTTTAGGCAAAGTGTTGACATGGTTCTAGGCAGTGAGCCAGCTTGCCAAGAAAATGCTCTTGGGCTACATCTAAGCACAGACTTTTTTTGCGGCGAGCTAATAAGAAAAAAGATTAAATTCATTTTCCTCAAGCAGCTGCAAATTTGTTAAATAATCAGTTTGTAAATTTCTTGACTTCCGTTGGAATTTCAAATTACCTATGAAATTGCTTAAGTTTTTTGTTGTCAGAAATAGTGTGAGCTGATAACTGTGTCAGAAGTTCCATTCTGTTCAACAACTCTTAAGTCCCCCCTGGGTATTGGTGGGACAACATGGAACCAGCTTATAATTTATGGAACAGTAGACCCACTAACTGATCACTTCTATATAATATCATAGATACTGTGCCTGAGGTATGTACGGAACACTTTGGAATAACACAGTGGGGCAGGGAGTTTTAGTCTAGTTTGGTGGGCTCCAGGAATGTTCCAAGGATTAGGTAGCCAGGAGCTGAGTCTTTATGGGAGAGCAGAAACTGGTTAGGTAAAGAAGGGGATGAGGGGATATATATTCCAACTAGAGGAAAAATGCATAAGTAAAGACCTGGAAGTATATGCTGGATGGGAGTGACAAGTATTTTCGTGTTACCAAAGTGTCAGTTGTAAGGCTGAGAGCAGGAAGAGAAAAATCTGGAAAGGGAAGAATGGGCCAGACAAGAAGGAATTGGCACTCTGAGAAGCAAAAGTGTTTCAGATTTAATCTGCGGGCCAGGAGATGCTCTTAAAGCTCTTAAGCCAGAGGGAAACATCTTTGTAGGTCATTGTGGCGCCACTGAAGGACAGAGCTAATGGGGTAACGGTGGAGAAAGACCACAGATATTCGCTGAATTCTTAAATGACTGCTGGGGAATAATGTTCATGCATGGAAGAAAGGAAGCCATGTGAACCATTCTGAGAAATGATATCTAAGTGAAAAAAAGAGCAGAGGCTCCTTTTGTGGCTCAGATGTGGGAAGCTGAGATGCAAAGACTTCATTATGTATGCTGATTATTTCTTCATTACAGTGATTATTAGAGTTTTAACAATATCCAGGTTTGGAACAATTATTGAGAGTCATAGTTGCAAAATTAGGTGTCATAGAAATTTTTCAAAACACATTTACTCCTGTTAGTGAAAAATAAAGTTTTCAATAGACCTTTTTGGCCTGGTTTTGTTATTTTATTTATACATTTATTAGTTGAAATTACTTGACATAGCATTAAGATTACATTAAATGCTAAAGAAGTCTATGCAATGATTTATACCATAAGTCCAAAGGAGTGATGATTTCTACCAGTTACTCTCACATATGCATTAGTAAAAGCACTTAAGTGTTTTCTGGTAACTGTTTTCTGATAATGGTGTTCAACCTAATTTGGAGCTAAAATATATTACAGCCTTCTGAATTGTATTAATGAAATTCCTTTTTTTTAAAAAAAGAAAGTATGTCAGTGTCAGGCTTTGATCTTTTAGGGAGATTAATTCAAACATTGACACAGAAATTTCAGAGCTATACTTCAAGCAGGTGATAACTTTTGTCTTTGCAGGATCCAAGTTTTAATTATTTTAGTGATTGTACTATATATGCCATATATTTTTCCCCTGCCACATAACTTCTAAGAAAATATGTTCTCAATGTGCTGAGCGTTGCCAACCATTCAAATTTGCTCAAGGGTACATCCTGGCCTGAATGTTCCAATTTATACATAGGCTAGACCATGTCCTGCAGACTCATTGTCTCATGTTTATGGTGAACCATGAGATACAAATACCATGAATGTCTGCTGCTGAGGCCCCTAGGGATGCCTGGTTCCTGCCCCTCCTGATACCTGGTGGTTTAACTTCCTCTTGGAGTCCATTAAATCACTATCCACTTAACGCACTGCATTTTCTTGAGCTTGTTTGAGTAAGATTCTGTTCCATGCAAAAGTGTATTCTAAGTATTAGCTCCTTCCTGCCATCTATGGAAATCCATCTTTATGCTATAAATACTATATTTGCTGTGTTTGAAAAGTGACATATCCACTCTGAAAATATTTAGAAAGAAGGAAAATATTGAGAACCTATCTTGCTAGCTAAACTCTCCCCTTTTTTCTCATGAAGAATATTCTGGAAATATGCTCAATCATGGAAAGCAAATATTATTTAGAAATGTAAATAATTAAGGTATTTTAAATACCAAAATTAAGTAAATTATTCCTTATAAAAGGACATCAAAAAACCCATCAGGTAAACCTCCAGGTTTTCAGAGACCATGTTTTTATAGGTAGCTTGTAAATGAACAAACTATAAACGTAGAGCTGTGCAATGATCAAAATAAGTTTTAACAAGTTAAATATATATATTGCTCTGTCCACACACATTTAGGTAGCAGTTGTAATTTCCAAATCCAACTCTTCTGTTTTTTTTTTCTTTCCTTTTTGTTCATTCATTTCTTTTCTCATTGATTTTAAAAAATCAATATGTTCATTTAAGAAATTATGTTTAGAGGATTCCACTGCAGCTTTTAGTAATACCCTGCAGCCACTTGGACCTTTTCAGTCAGATTTCCTCTCCTGGATGCAAGTAAACTATAACCAACAAATACAAGAACAGACCTGAAGACATGCATCTTCATAAGAACTTACGCGTTTGAGATGCTGCAAAGATTTCTATACATGAATATTACCAAGATAGGAACTATTTATAAGTCTGAATCATAGAGAAATTTTTTTAGTGTATTTCAAAATGAAACCATCAACCATACATCCCTCCACGTTAAGGGAGGTGTCTAGGGAGTTGTGGTCACCTTTCCAGCCTGCACAGGTACAAGCTTAAGCTCCAGATTTGGTATAATCTCCTTCTGATGAGAATTCCATGAATCATCCTAATTTTTGATTAGAATTTTAAGATAATGTTTTGCCAGAAATTATATTCAGGCCTAATGTACATGGCCTAAAGATTTCACTCAGAGCAAGGACTAGAAATGAAAACAACCTGAATGAAAGTAGGAGAAATCTGAAGGCATCAGAAGTCTGAATTTCCATCACCTTTATCCAAAATTAATTTTAACATTGGTAGCTCTTTTCCATTATGTTTGGATATTCTGAATTTTTCATGAGTTTTTTTCTTGAATAGTGTAGTTGGTCGAGTGTGGAACAAAAAGCCAGCTTGTTCCTGTGGATGATACTTGGGATATATAGCATAGCAAAGAAAAAGAAGCTCAAAATGTAAGTTTTTGTCAACAGGGCAAAATATTGTTGAAATTTTTAATGTTCTCAAACTTAAGGGAAGTGAACACAACCTAATAGTCCACAACATTCTGAAAATGCCATGTCGACCTTATTAAGGCTGTCATGATTTCACAGACTTTTGTCAAGTCTCATTTTAACTGTCTACTGTCTGGGTCAAATATGCCTGATCTTTTTTCTTCTTAAAAAAAATTATTAATTTCTCAGTTTTTTGAATTAGCCTCGGTACATCTTTACCAGCTCCATTAAAGGGTTTGGACACACACTTTTCTCAAATTTTGTATAAGTTACTGTCTAAAAAAGAATACACAAAGCCCTTAACATTTAAGTTTGGCAAAGTTTAGCACAAACTAAATCTACAGCTTTGATAGCTTAAAATTGAAACCACCACATCAGAGAGCAGGAATAAATAGAAGGAAGATCATTAGGTCAGGAGGAAACTTCCAGAGTTCATCAAAAGTGCTCTTACTCATCAGAAAACCAGCTTGTCTACATTTTTCAGTCAGTCAGAGGAACACATGAATAAATTAACATAATTCCCTGTGGTGTTAACCATAGCACAGGCGGGGGAAAGATCCCCTAGAGACCAAAAATGATTCTTCCAGTATACTGCACTTTGGAGGTCCAGATTGTTAAGATAGACTGAATGGTAGAGCAGATGGGAGTGTTGCTCTCAGGTCAGAGAGTGAACACATGGAAAAGCTTCCCAGGGCCTGCAGATGGGAATGGGGGGAGGGTTTAACTAGAGATGCGCAACTGTTGTCTTCAGGTCGAGTGTTCCTCATTCTAGGCTAAAATAATTTTTTCAGTGCCGATTGCTGGGATTTCACCCAATACTTGTTAAATCACTGAAGCACACCAAAGTGACAGAAATATCACCACCTACTAAAAGAGCATAGTCCAT